CATTCTGTAAGAATCCAATATCATCCAACATAATAAGCAGACAGTATATACTTAAGAAAAATGCAAATATAACATAAGGTTGAATAAATAAACTCCAGGTATATGTTGTAAAATAATAAAACAGTTTATATTGATTATGCTTTAAATCATTAGATCTAATTCTAACAAATAAAATCAACGCCCAATATACTGTGCATATTATTGTACCGCATAATATTAAAGTGATTTTAACAAATAGATGACTTTTTATTCGATATTCAATGTCCAATTTAAAGTTTGATTCACTTGTGATTAAATTTGTTGGAAAAAATGACACTGAATTTCTAAACATTAGTATATTATGAAATAGTATTAAAAGTGATATGGAAAGATTTATTACACAACTTTGAAACGGCCACATTCTTTATATATTTGCTTTTGTATTTTAAAGTAAATACTTTCAACAAAAGATGTTTCTGTTAGATTTCATTTCTTAGAGAAATTCTCCTTTGTTGTTTGAATGATACTGAGAATTTATTGACCTTGAGTCATGTGAATAAAGTAGGAAATTGATTTTTATTTATTCTTAGTTAACGGAGATAAATGATTTTTCTTAATTTATAAATGTGCATACATGATTTAAGGTTTTCGATTATGTAGCGCTCTTTAAAGATGAATTCAAATGCTGTATAGTTAAGCAGTTTGATGAGAATAATATGAGGCTAGTCTGTAAGAAACAAGTGAACATTCTGTGAGTTTTTGAGTGCTTTTCATGCAACACAGGAAGATGTACTCTTGAGATGTTACTTGAAGTCATCAGTGATTTAACAGTCTGTCGATGGTCATATTTCGTGTGCCTACGAGTGAGATAAACAAGTGATATATTTTCTTGTGATTGATCAGTTCGTCTTTAAAGTTGCGGTTATTCCAAACATCCTGTTTGGTGAAGTCCACATTTCCCAGGAGCGTTTTAGACAGTCGGTTGCATAACTGACGATGTATGCTGTTACAGCACAGGAAAAAATGATATGCTAGTGGATTTATTCACTGAATTCAGTAGATTCATCCCATACTAAATAAAGCCTAAGGACTTGGCAGAAGAGTCATGAATGCATTCAGCGTTCTGAGTACATGATAATTATATATGACTTCAATTATCTCCTGACTATTTTTTCAGGGAACCCTAAGTTAGTTTGAAGGATTTTTCGAATGAGGCTGAATGTCGTGAATTGACCAGATGTTCTGTCATTGAACAATATACACGTTTTTCTTCTGCTTTTACTAGCCAGGCTGGATAGTGTTCACGAGAACGAAAACGTGTATATAGTTCAACGACAGAACATCTGGTCAATTCAAGACATTCAGCGCCATTCCAAAAATCCTTCAAAAAATATACAAGATTCGATCAAACCTATCAAAGGAAGTAAAATTAAGTTATCTGGGTATAGCCGAGGCACTAACCATCCAAGAGCTCAAACCCACGCTATGTATCCAAAAGAAATACGTCCAACCCCTGTCCCTGCCATGGCCATCATAAACAGGTAATTTTTTAGTAATGACCATCCCATTGCCTTTCTTATCCAAACTTCCTGTTTATTCATGTTATTTTAAGTTTTTCTTAATCCCTATTTACACTACCATATTTTCATATCTGAACTTCCTGTCTATTTTGTTATTTTATTATTTCTACATATTTAGTCCCTGATTGCATAAACAATTATTCGTCAAATTATTTATGATCCCACTAGACTTCCTTTCCAAGCATCCTGTCTATTGTTGTTATTTCTACATTTCCAACGCCTAATTGCACAATATGTTAATCTTCTCAGTAATTATGATGCTACTTTGTCTGAGCTTTATTCGTCTCACTGTTTATTATGGCATTTTAATTCCTAATTGTGATTGTATTCATCTGACGCTTGACCAGAAATTATTCTGCAACTTTCCTACCTATTTGTTATAGATCTACGAATGTACAGCCTAGTTGATGATTTCGTCGAAAAGAAAATTTTCTTCGCTGCAACTGTCTTTTTATTGTTCCCTATGGTCAAAAATAAACTAATTTATTCCATCAGTATTGGGAGAATACATTGAAATTAAATAAACATCTTCATAAGGTTAGGTGATACATTTATTTGAAATGAATGCAAGTTATTAAATAATTCGTTGTGGTAATAATACCTATTATTGTTGTTATTATAGTCATTATGAGCTGACTGACTGATTGGCTTCAGTGTAGAACTTTGCACCGATGTGCAGCAGATCGAGTCGCCACACTTCACTTAACACACAAAACAAGAGAAGAAAGTAAGGAGAAATGCAAAACAGAGACAGTAAGCAGAGATATGAGGCAAAAAGAATAGTAATATCGAAGAATATTGCATATAATAAGTCACAAGGAGTGGATGCATCTGCACCATTGAGAACAAGTCAGTATGAAGATGAACGCTGTTATTATCATTGCTACTAATATTGTTATTCTGTGTCATAAAGCCGTTATAATTTGTGTTAGAATTCCTATCCAAGCTTCTGAAATTACTGCCTAACTTATTATTAAATAATTTTATCATTTCATGGTGTTTCCAGGGATCTACTGAATGTCGACCAAAGACAAACTAATTAGCTACATCTATCTGTTGTTTATAAAGAGATTACTTGTAAACATTTATCAGGCGGTCATCAGGAAAATTCTTCTATTCAGATCATACATGTACTACCCAAGTTAATAAGGCTTTTCTTGAAACTTTTCAGACTTAAGGAGAAATACATATATACTGTGGGCAGATGGAACCTAATGACAGTAACGAAAAATTACTCATCAGAATTATCTGTACATCTGAAATCTAATTTTCGTGCAATAAAAACTTTTTTCATTAAATTTTTGTTGCTTACACTGTGATGCGATTGTGTTCTAGTAACATTAATAACGCGTGCTAGAGTGGGAATCAAGAGTTTTACAATTGGGAATTAATGCGGCGTCTGGGAAAACTTTTGTTGATGCGATAAGATGAACAGACAGAGACGTACCGTGTTCTGTCGCTGAGAACCGTAGGCATTCTGTTTTAGATTATTATTATTATTACCGTAGATGTACTGAGTTAGGCGTTTAACAGTATAGATACAGTCTTTTCCTCACGGTACATAACGATATCTAGAAATCACAAGCGACCTTTCTCAAGGCGACTGATATTTACTTTTTGACTATGTACTGAGAGTCAGCTGATATATTCTGCTGAGACGACGGATAACTCTAAACGTCTTATAATCTAAATACCTTCTCTGAAATGTGGACATATTAACTTTGTTTAGCTGCAGCATATTCTTTTTGTCAATAAACTTCTCCAAATACCTACTTTTACTTAGTATTTTAAAGATAACCTCATATAACCATATATAACCTCATCTGTACGCCACAACTTATGCAAAAGGCTAATATTCAGTCTTATCAAGTAAATATATACAAACGAATAACAAAGAATAAGTTCATTAATGAATTAACATGTAATACAAAATCAATGACACTGTGAAAATCTTTGTCCTTAGCACCGAACTCCGTGAAATCCTACAAAGTAGATATTACCTCGAAAAAGAAAATAAGCATTCAGAAGGTGTAGACATTGTGTATTGTGATGTGTCTAATCCTTTCTTTAGTGCAGACTGAAATCTATCAGTCAGGTTTCCAGTGTGGCCGCCAGTCTAGGTAGCTCTCCATCACAGTGGATGAGTGACGAATGCCAACTAGCACGAAACCTAGGTCGAATGCTTCCTGTCAGTTACCTCCAACCATTTAATACTAAACGTTTCTGTAGTGTTGGCAGTAGAACAAAGAAGGTACAAAAAATTTGATGCCTACTGAAAAATGTCTTGGAATAAAATTTTATTCTACCTCTTATTATTATTATTCCTGATTCATTTAAAGTTATCCTTTATCAGTAGCATTATCTTAACTCGTTTCAGCATTAGCATTATTATTATAACTGTTACTACTAATACTACTCAGTTTGCAATTCTCGATATATTTAAGTTCTTTCTCTGATGACTAACTGTTTATCTAAGTGATCCAATTAAACTGTAATCCATTTTATCTTAATTTTAATCTCTCATACTGCCTTCCCCTCATCTATTTGAACATGATCTGAGAAACATTTACACGTGTCGTTTTGCTTGATTGATTAAATGTAGTTTATTTGTTTATCCGTCTTATATTTTCCATTGTCATTCTGATAGTATACACATCCCTGTATGTAGAGTATTCAGCTGAAGAGTTCTACCAAAATTTAGTGAATTCATTAAACCCTGCTACATTAACCTTCGTTGATTGTTTTGGACACTTAGTCGTTATGTTAGGGCTTATTGAAGTATACATTTTGATGGGGTGAATAGGTAGTTCACTGACACGGAGATAATCCCTCCTCAGCAGAATGCAGCAGTTTTTTTCAAGAAGCAACTTGTGCATCGGTGGCATAGCGGTTAGAACGTTTGCCGACCATGCACATGGTCCAGGGTTCGATCCCCGGCCACAGACGCACTCCTTTAACTCGCTGAGCCAGAAATAATGCCGGTAAAGAGGAAAGGTTAGGCATGAGGCTAGCAACTACATCCTGTAAAAATAAACACTGCTACGGAAATTTCAAGCCACTAGCTTGAAGCCCTATGTTCCACTGGGGAACGTGAAGAAAAAAAAACACTTGCGATAGTCACTTCAGTCGCTTGTGTTGTGAATGCTAACAACCCTAAATCCCTTCAGTACATTCAACACCAAATATTACTGAACATATCCCACTTTTTCCATATACTATCACGAAGCGAAGTTATGATAAAAGAGTAAAACTGAATCATTAATAGGGAAAAAATTGTAATTAGTTTGTAGTCCTTGTAAAAAGATCTAATCAACACTTAACAGAATTAAACCCACTGAGAATTAGCTAATCTGAAGAGAAGGAAGATGAAGATGGGGGAATTACCCGTCTTCCATTTTATTCATGCATAAAAACACCTGTAAACAGAATAACTGCTTTACTGGCAATTGATCTTTTTATTTTGTTTGAAATATACATTTTTGAGTCGCATATTCAAAATATCACAATCAGATGGTTAAACACCTTCAAACATGAATGATTTCCTAATTGATACAAACGCAATTAGTTTTAATCACATGGAATATAAGGCTTGATATAAAAAAAGGCAATATAATAATTACTAAAGTCGTGTTTTTCATACAAAATAGAGACAGAGTTTAAAAAAAGATAACTACAATAAGTTATTTAGATTATTGTTGGATCGCCTGTAATGTATGATTGACTTGATGAATTATTGTTTTCTGGACTTCGACTTCGTTGTCTTGGTGGTAGAGGTCGTGAATTGCGTAACGGTAGTAGAGGGATAGCCTGTGGTGAGCCAGTATAACTATCTGGTCCCATTTCACTGTCACTAGGTCCTGGAGATCTTTCAAATTCTGATTCAGGCTCATTGTTGGTTTCTTCTCTTGGTTGTCTACGATTTCGAACCACTAGAAAAGGGAACAGTGAAGAAAACTGAGTGATTTCAGTTAGTTTACAAAACAAGGGTAACTAATAGACAGTGGTTGCTGAATTTAAATAAATCTTTGTAAGTAAAGTAGATTTTTCATCAAAATACTTTGAGAATGCCTTGAAAACCAACTTGAAACCACGATATTTTTGAAAGGTGGGTGCGTACTGCTGAAGAGTTTCAAACTAGGGTGAAACAGCTGTCCAGCACTCCTAGGTTTTCCAATGGTTCTCTAACTAATGTCAGATCATGATGGAAATCTTGGAAAGTAGTTGTATTGCTTCACCCTAGTTATCATGTTTGCATTATATCTTCTCAGAGACATTTTTTTCGCCACTAAGATGTTTAATACCAAATAAAGTGCCCAAAAGAGTGTCTGAATGTGTCATGTTGTGCAAGGAAGTGCCTGATGACCATTCAGTTCACGAATAACCACCGCTAACCAGCAAACTAACTTTTGAACAATCAATCCGATATTCGCGAGTGCCTGGTTACAGGACGAAATTGCTTGGAGTTCTAGTGGGGAGTTGTAACCAGTGGGGTTCATCAGGTTGAGCGTGAGGACAAATACTCGTCGATAACAATGGCTGGTGGTCACAGTACAATCATGAATTAGTAGAAGTTAGGATTTACGTATCAACGAATCGGGTCCCAGTGACTGAAAGGTCTAAGTGCTTGCCTTGTAACCTGAAGGTAATGGATTCGAACTCTAGGGTATATGTACTGCTGAAGAGTCCTAAACTATGACAAAGCAGGTGTCCAGTGCTCTCTAGTGTTTAGTGTTTCTCTAAGCAACATCGGTCCGTGATCAAACTTAAAACAAAATCATATCCCTGCAAATTAACTCGTTTTATTCATTCTAAGAATATAAAATACTAAAATGCTTTCGACATTAATTCAACAGCCAACAAGATTTAATCATTTCAGTCGGTCATTTTTCTCCACTATGAGGTTTATGATGCTTAACTTATGACGGTTATTCAACAGTACATATCTAAATAGTTTTTAGTTAGAATTATCCATATCAGCGTCGGTGGCACAGCGGTTAGGACGCTCGCCGACCATGCACATGGTCCAGGGTTCGATCCCCGGCCGACGAACTCCTTTACCTAGCTAAGCCAGAAATAATGCTGGTAAAGAGGAAAGGTTGGGCATCAGGCTAGCAACCACATCTTGTAAAAATTAACACTGCTACAGAAACTTCAAGCCTATGGCTTGGAGCCCTATGTTCCACTGGTGAAAGAAAAAAATTATCCATATGGACATGAAAGAAAGACTTGGCGGTAACTTCTCAAAAATATCTAAATACATGTATGCACAGCAATATATAAATCTTAAATAGCAGATAAATGTTTACCTTCAGATTCACTGGGTGACCATTGATCTTCACTGTCATTTTCATCTACGCCATCGTCAATAGAGCGTGGCGTTTGTTCACGTGAAAATTGACGTGTCCTCGAGAAATCAGGATAAGCAGCTCCTGGGAGATGATAAAGAATTTGAGCATCTGGATCTTCTGGTTGAGCATATTCAGGACTAAATATATGTGTATTTTAAGATAAAATAAAGAGTAATTTAAAGATTTTTCAAAGCCATTGTCACACATTATTTTTCAGTAAGAAAAAAACAACAAAGCTTTGAAAAAATTATATATTTTAAGTTGCTGAATTTAATCCATTGTAACATGGCGTTATAAGATACAAGTTGACGAGTCTACTATAAAATGCAACTAATTATTCGCCAATACATCACGTAGGAATTCAAATGTGTTTGTACGCGATATAAAGGTTAGCCATATGGAAAAACAAGCTAAAAATTTCAACTTTCGTAAGAAACAACAGTGACAATAAGAACTTATCTGTCAAACACCAGAATATGTTAGTACAAATAAGAACCTTTTTAAATTTTCACGATAGGTGATTGTATCCACTTTCGACTTCTATGAATTAGTCAAAGAACTTTATAGTGATTGCTAGCACTGTGTATAGGGCTCACAAACATTTTAGCGTGTGATCTAAACTGTGATGAATGTTATCATATTTGTTACCTATTGAGCATAAATTATATTTAGGAAGACTGAATAAAGCTTGAATTCAGTCGGAAAAATTTAAAGCAATCGAGAACTCGTTTGAACTCCATTCCACTACAAAGATAACATCACCATCGCGAATTCAAACTTTTCTAGGCTCCATAAATTTATTCGTTGCAAACTTCTGTGTATTATAGATCCACCTGATGTCTAGAGGTGTTTAACGAATTATAATTTCTCCAACCTACAAATGGTTGACATTGAATGGATTTAGTACAATCTTAAATTCTTTTTTACATTTCTTAGGTTGTGAATGGAACGTAAGGTCTCAAGTTTCAAAATTTCAGTAGCTGTGGTGCTGACTTTACAGGCTCCGGGTATGTGGGAGTATATGGGCTGGAAATCGAACCCTTCACCTCTTGCGTGGTTAATGAGCACCGTTCTACCTCTAAAACAACCAATGCATCTAATCTTCCTTAAGTACCATAATTTTAGTCTCAGTAGCAGGGATGGAATCGATCGGAATATCTTATTTAGCCTAAAAACCGTGGAATTTAACTTTATAATCGAGTGAAATTTACTTTATTGTTTTTCTAGGTAACACCAAGTCGCTCTTTACAATTAGCAATAATCAAATTATTCATTATCATTTAAGTAGGTTAAAATTAGGCTTATGTTGAATAAATGGGTCCTGCAGTTCATTTGGTATAGTAGTAAGAGTTTTCGGCATGAATATCACAACACAAGCCTAAATTTCGTTCAGCGAATTCATTTTCCTTAGCTGTACAATCACGTCTCTATGCCATTTTTTACAAAAAAAGAGGATAAAAGAAGTGAATCTCTTCGGTCAATACTCAAGATCAGATGGCCAGAATAGATCAGTAACAGGGATCTCTGGCGATGAGCGAACCAACCAGGAACCGATTGTTGAACAAATAGGCAGGAAGAAATGGAGACGGACTGGCCATACACTGAGGAAAACATCAAGTGACAACACACGCCAGGCCATCACTCGAGTGGAACCCGAAAGGGAAGCGGCGAGTTGGTCGTCCAAGGGTGACTTGGAGGAGGTTATGTGAAGAGGAGATGAGAGCATGTGAGCAGACTTGGAGCGGGGTGAAAAAGTTGGCAGAAAACCAGACGCAATGGAGACGCGCAGCTTAAGCCCTATGTTCCTCTAGAAATTAAAGGATATAATAATAATGATAATAAAAGAAATGATGAATTATCATAATCATAATCACATTAACTGATATTGATTAATGTGTACTTGAACCCTTTTAGGCAGGATTAGCCTCTAACGATCAACACTTCATGAATGCAGAAAGCTAACAAACAGCTGTATAAAGAGTCTGATAACTGAACTCCTTGTTAACATTAGTCATTAGGTCTCAGCAAACCCATGCTTCAAAGTAATCAACAAAAAAGTGAAGAGCAACTTGATAATGGTTATAAGCTTTCGTCTCCTCTGAATTGCTGGTGCTCTAGCCATTCAAAGAGAGAGAGAGAAACTGACGCTCTTCATAGTAAAGGAAATTAGTCAACCACCTATATAATTTATAATTTCTACCATCATGGTAACAAGATTAATGATTTCTTGATTATTTTTGCTGGTTTTTCTAACTCCTTATAACTCTTGTATTTCTTTCGAACTCTCACGTGGTCCTTCGTTTCTGTCTATTAGCATCCTGACTACAACTCCTTTAATGAATTCTATAGTTTGGTTTGTAAGAGTTAGTTTTGTTTTTACGAGCTGGTCACAGATTGATATCAGTTAGAGAACCATTGAAAACCAGGGAGTACTGGACAGCTGCTGTTTCATCCTAGTTTGGGAATCACCGGCACTACGCACCCACCACCCAGAGTTCGAATCCAGGACCTTCCGGTTACAAGGCAAGCTGGCTCGTAAACTATTCAGCCACTGGGACCCGATTCAATGGCTGATGAATTCTAACTTCTGACAATTCGTGATTTAGCGCAACCCCGACCATTGTCGTAAGTGGGACAACCATCCTCACACGTGACATCTGGATGGACCTCACTGATCACGAATGAATTATTTATTACAAAACTCTGACATCTTATGCACTGAATAACATTACCAGCTATGATAATGACAACTCATCACTTTCGTTGCTGTTCCTTTTTGTGAAGAACTGTATATAAGTGTGACTGTACAGCTAAAAAGGGGAATGAATTTGCCAAAAACAGCCTCTTCACTGAACTACTTGTTTTGTACTACTTTGTTTTGAACTACTTGAACTACTACTACAAGGACTGTCTAAATTATATGCATGACAGATTAGCAGTAGACTATAACTGTGATATTAATGTCAACTATTTTACGTTTAAACTTACCATAGTTGGCCGACTTTTTAAGATTCACTTGTATTATAACAATTTATGATATGTATCCATATATATATGTGTGTATGGTGATCTCTCTTTCTGTTTGCTCGCTTAGTCTGTGACCATTTCACTTTTTTTTTTTTCTGGACATTCATATATATTTCGCTCTCACAATTTGTGTGACTTACTTACTTTGGTGTGATACCACTTATTGCTTCTCCTTATGTTTGGGAAATAGAAGTATCATCGCAAACCTAGTGGTCTTCTGATTTCCGTCTTTCTTGCGTCAGGACTATTACATTCTCGACCAGTACATAATAATAATTTAGCGACGAGTACATAACAATTTGGCGACAGGGACAACTACTATTAACCACTCAGCAGCAGCAACATAACAATTTAGTAAACCAATCTAGTCCTTACAATACACCTCCTGAAAATTGATCTGATGCTCGCTAGTGACTTCTCCTACAGGACGGAGTTTCTTGAAGTTCTAGTGAGAAGTCGTTACAAGTAAGGTCAATCTAGTCAGCAGTGAGGTAGGAGTTCCCACTAGATAACATTGGTTGATGATCACGCTAAAAATCATGAGTTGGTAGAAGTTAGAATTCATGAACTACCCACTGCTGGATCTGGTCCCACTGACTGAATGGTATACGAGCCAGCTTGCCTTGTAACCGGAAGGTGCTGGGTTTGAACCCCGTTGGTGGGTGAGCACTGCCCATGATTCTCGGACTAGGATGAAATGTCTATCAAATGCTCTCTAGTTTTCAGCGGTTCTCTGACTGATACCAATTTCTGGTCATACTCGAAAAATAAATCTACTCGATAAATAAATCAACTCTTGAAAAAATTTTTATGTCTAGAACAAGTGAAGTGGAAAAAGTTAGTCATCTGTGAATAAGTGTCATCATGAAGTTTATAATGTGTTAGTAATGTTTTTTAAAAATTTTTTTCAACCAACGTATTATTTAATAATGGCTAGACACTTTTTAACATACGCTATTTATTCTAACATTTAAATCTATTATAACAATTATATAAAGACTTAATAGAGGAAGAATAATTAGCCGTCTAACTAAAAATGGCGGGCGAAACAAGTAGAAGATAAGTAGATAATAAAAGTGATAAACAGCATTCTGAATGGGCTATTTAGAAATAAAATAAAATTCAGTGAAGCGCATTTATTTTACTAAAGAAGTCATCTTGAAAAGCTGCATAGCCGTATCTGCATTCGCCGTAAACGTATAATAGTTTATTATTGTGTAATAAGGGAGATGACTGATGTAATTACTCAGAAGTTGGTTGTAAAGACAAAGAATAGCTAGTGTCTTGGTCAATAAAACTCCGAACTCTGTGTGCGTGTACAACAAAGGTTTCAATACAGAAAATATCCCCCAACAAAGATTTGTTCAGTCTCTTATTTTACTGTGGTCTTAGTAAGAATAATAAGGCTTTATTTTAGACAAAATGTGGATACATAGTACAGAAACTTTCAGTGTTTCAAAATATTTCGTCTTCGTGAGGAATTTACAAATGAAATAATAATCTGAAGTATGTCATGTGACATACTGATGTAGTATATGAAGTGGGAATCAATTTTTTGCATTTTTTGTCGTCATTTCCTTTAGGAATTGCAAGGCATTTCCTTGAAAGTCATAGATATGTGTGCGTGAGCTTATTTAGTGACCATGTGATATAACTGCGTGATTAAAGCAACAAGAATTATTGAAAAAAGTTTAGTCATTTTGCTGGATGAAAATTCTGTAAGCCCAGTGATTTAACCAGGCCACTCTTTCCTACTCGTTTGTCTCCTATTTTCAGTAGTTAATTGACTATAATCGCTCTAACCTCTTTCCTATTGTACTTTTTACCAAGTTCTTTTCTCATCTTTATATTTATTAAGTGGAAAATCAGCCCTCTTGCTACTCACATAACAAAGTAATTTTGCCTTTATCGAATTTCACTCCTTTCTGCTGTATCTTTACGCAACTATTACATAATTTCTTATCTTTAGAAACCAATTCCTAGTAATTGCATTGCATCTGCTTAAAACCTGGGCTACCAAAAACTTCCATCTCTTTGTTGCACATTTACTTTATCTCGTTCGGTTTGTTTTATTCAATCAAGATATGACCTCTAATGGTATTATCTACTC